AACTTTTTACACAAAGACACGGGTTTCAACCGTGAATTTTTGGAGCTTTGACAAGACGGCGGTTTATGTCGACCTGCTAGCTTAGCTCGTAGCTTAGCTTCTCAGCTTAGCTGCTTTTAACCGTCCAAAATCACGTTTTTGGACGGTTAAAGTGGATTTTAAAGAGAAAGGGAGGAGTCAACGAAGAGCACCGGAGTTGAGCCTTTTGTCATCCAGTGTCTTCAGTAGAAAGAGAGAGACGCGAAGAAACGATAAAGCCGACAAATGAAAATGAGGTTGATAATTTTCATTCATCATGCGATTAATTGATTTATTGTTTATCGCGACAGGTCTAGGAACAGATACACAATGGCAGGTCAATAATCACATGGTAAGATAGAAATAGTATCAAACTATTCAATTTTAGCAATTCATTTAAGGTAATGCGGTAATTTTGTTCTCTAGTAGTCTAAGCTTTCGATAGAATGACAAGTCAACCCTAACTATAGGATTTATCAAAAAGCCCAGTCTTAAAACTGGACAATGTGTCAGCCTCACGGACAAAAACCGGAAGTCGGTTCCACAAGAGAGGAGCCTGATAACTGAAAGAGCTTCCTCCCATTCTGCTTTTGGAAACTCTAGGAACCACGAGTAAGCCTGCAGTCTGAGAGCGAAGTGCTCTGTTAGGAAAATATGGAACAATAAGATCTCGCATACAAGATGGAGCTAGGTTGTTGAGAGCTTTGTAGGTTAGAAAGATTTTGAATTCTATTCTGGACTTGACAGGGAGCCAATGGAGAGAAGCTAAAACTGGAGAGAGATGATCTCTCCCACTAACTCCAGTTAAGACTCTGGCAGCAGCATTTTGGATCAACTGAAGACGTTTTAAAGACGTGGACACCCAGATAATAAACCATTGCAATAGTCCAGTCTAGACGTGACAAACGCATGAACCAGTACATACATTATTTCTCTCCATGCCCACGTCTGACCCCGATCACAAGGAAGAGCAGCAATAACATTATCGCCCTCGACTACAAGATTCATAACCACCTGTTTGCTCTTCAGGTTTCAGTCTCCTCCCTGGTTTATTGCACTATTTATAACTTGTAAATTCATTCTGACTCTTGGTCTCTGTTCCCACTGGTCTTTATATCTGGGTTTAACCGCAAATCGTTACACTTTTGTGTCTTCTGTCCCATATTTTTTTAGATGTGTTGCTGCCATAAATTTTTGAAGTTCCTTTACTTTTTCCTAAAACGGCTTCAGTTTCTCAGTTTGAACATTAAGGTGCACTTCATGTTAACTTAAACTCACAATAAAACGTGTTTTATTCAGTTCATACAGTGCAATACATTAAAACAAATGTGTATTCAGTAGCACAAGAAATAAAAGATAAAACCATAAAAAATCAACATTTAACAAGCAACAAAAGCCAAAGAGCAAGAGTTTTAAGTGAAGAATTAAAATCAGCTAAAGAGGACGCCTTTCTGTGTAAAGGCAGTTTGTTCCACGATTTTGACCCTAACATTTAATTCATCTTTGGGCTTAGACCTAATGTTTGAAGCAGACGTGGGAGAATGGGCAGGTAGGTAAGCTCAGAAAGATAAGGAGGCGCAACATCATTTAACAAACTAAAAACAAATTTCAAACGGATTGTCAGCCAGCAGTGAGATTTTACAAGTGTAATGTGATTACATTTGCTTGTTCTACTTAAGAGTACATTTAACTGACTTTATTTGACGGTCGCATTTAAAATTGACGCCACTTTGAACCTCTAAGTTTGTTTTGATGTACCAAGATGAATGAACCGAGACAGAAGCAGACAATAAATAAAAACATTTCAGTTGTTAAAATTCAGAAAATGTAGAGACGTTCTCGTCACAATAACATTCTTATAAATATCGGTTTCTGTCAAAATATCTATAATTTAATTCTTCCTGGTCGAACAAACCCGTCAGGTCTCCAGAACATTCTTCAGTTTCAGTCTCTGTATTTTTATCAGACTCAAATGGGGTTTTTTTGCCTGAGAATACGTGATTTTTTTAAAAAGTTACTACTAATGCATGGCATTTCATGCGTATTTACAAAATAAAAATGAGTAAAAATCCACCCTTAGTCCATTTGCATTATAATGAAATGTATATATTTGTAGTGACCACATCACCGTTAGTCATTAATGAAATTATAATTAGACAATTAAACCATGTAACATCTTCCTTCAGTAAACAGTCCTCAGGAAGTTTATGTTTTTCTCAGCAGATGGAGACAAACCTCCATCACTGAAGTCTTCACCTTCACTTGATGGTCTCATATTTTATTAAATATGAACCAGAGGAAATGCATTTGCTGCAAAGCTGAAGCGTGAACGCTTCACCGAATGATTTTTGTTGGAACCAGCTGAACATGTTTCATCGCTAAACTGTTGATGCGAGTTGGATTTGACCAGCTGACATTAGCTGAAAGCAGGAAAATAAAAGCAGAAGAAAAATAGCAGAAATATACAAAAAAAAAAAAAAAAAAAGTTGAATAAAACAGAAATGGAGCAGAAATGACCAGAATTAGGCAAAATAGACAGAGAGGGAGAGGCTGAACAGATTTGAAAAAAAGCTGAGATTTGCAGAAAGAAGATGGAAAAAAAAAGCATAAATAAAATTTAAAATGTGATAAAAAGCTAAAATTAGCAGAAAAATTCCTTAAAAAAAAGTAGCTGAAAAAGCAGAAGCCTGACTTTTAGCTATAAGAAGCTGAAAGGACCATTAAAATCCATCCATCCATACATACATACATACATACATGCATACATACATCCATACATACATACATGCATACATACATGCATACATACATACATCCATACATACATACATACATACATGCATGCATACATGCATGCATACATACATGCATACATACATACATATATGCAT